TTACTACAACTACAACACAGTAAATCCAACAATGCTGCTTTGTTCCACGATTACAGTCCGTGATCCCTGCAAACCATGGGGCGCGTAGCAGGTGCACAGCTTGGAGCGCAGCCAGAGCAAATTTCCCACCAGTTGTGGCGGGCTCAAGATGGCATCACGGTGGAAAAAGGATGCCGCGTCTGCGCTCCAATTAGCCCCACCCTATCGTTTGCAGGGATTGTGGCTGTACCGCATTCTAAAAAGCTACGGTCGTCCAAAGACGGGGTATCCGAAAAAATCTACTCGACGAGGTGACACGAGCCGAGGCCACTGCACCACCCCCTCTTTTGGGGTAAGGTGGGGGGGGGGGTCAAGCCATCTCACCCATCCCGATGATGTACGCTGCTCGGTGACTTACCTCATCCCGTCCAGTAATACATGCCCCACCGAGACCGCATATTATTGCTCAAAACGTGCCACTGGAAGCGGTTCCTACCACATATGCAAAATAGTCGCCGTATTCAGCATGCTCTGCTCATGCTCCGCCGCTTTCACTACAGACGATTATTGGAGTTCTGGTGCAAATGCCGCGGCACATGACGCCACACGCAGCGCCGCTTTCATCACGTCGCGAGTCAGGATTGGCGGAGACAGGTTGAAATTCATAACCATAGGATCTACCTCTGGTAAGCCTCTCCTTCTTATCATACTAGGAGGAAGGCACACATAAAAACGCACAGTGGTTTGATCCCCGCCCATCCCATTATCGCGAAAATGTGTCTTTGAATAGCGCTCGCGACTGATGGCGACAAAGTGCCGAAGCCTTTTACTACACAAGACGGCGGCGTCCATAATCACAGAGGATGTCCACTCCGGCTCAGCGACGATTATCTGACCTTGCCTTCGTTGAATAATGATGAAATTTCACAAGTATGAGTTATAATGTCTTACAAGGTCTGTGTTTGTGCTAAGGCTACAGCAGCAGCTTTTTTCGACCGTGCACTATTGCGTAATTCGTAAATATCGTACATAGTGTCGTCCAGCATAGAGTTTCTGTGATTATTACCTTAAACATTCCTATCCAATCTGAGTTTCATCTCGAACGTCGCGAAAGCATTGAGGCAAAGGTAGTTGAGGAGGAGGCAGGCTGCGGCATCTCTCCCTACAGCTCAGAGAAAGCGGCGTGAGTTGGGCGAACCATCGTTGTCACAGTTTTCCTGCAGTCAGGGGGCTTGTCAGAGGGACTGGGTTCAGCGCGACGTGAGCCCATTCTCGCCAACTGTTGAAGCTGACAGGCGACCACAAATGGAGGAAAACTGGCTCGGCGCAGTGCCAAGTCTAGCCAACTCCTCCCCCCCCCCCGCACGCCCCAGCGTCCACAGCGAGCAAGTCTAGATATGTGCCCGCTTGACGAAGTCCCGCGGAACTCTCTGGAAATTGGATGGAAATTGAAAGAATTTGGCAAGATGGCTGGTAGGATGGGAATGGTGGGAAGTGGGGAGGTCGTACCAGGGAAGGAAGTTAAGTGGGGGGGGAAGGGTTGCATTAATACAACGGCTTCTTCACCTATCCCCATGCCTAGGGCTCAGCCTTAGATAGCGTCAAACTACTGGAGAGATAGCGGTATACCCTCGCCCTTGTCCTCACCAACTTCCTCAACCTCAAAGCGTTTAATAGCTTTGGCAGAAAGAAAACACCGCTCACTTGGCTTTTTGTCATCAGCTTTGTTCTGATTTTCTCGGCCGAGTTTATTTGCCAGATTGCCAGCCGGATTTGGTGCCTTACCAAGGGCTCGAAGTACCTAATATAAAGTCTATGATATAACATTCACAACACTGAGGACCTGCTGTTCCCCACATCGGGGCAACGGAGGTAAAATGGATAGCATGCAGCACCCTAAGCGAATACTGTCTCATACGGTGTGCTTCTCAAAATAAGAGATTCCAGACGGTCCAAATGTACCAGATCCCTTTCTCAAACGATTCGCGTGGTGTGCGCCTTTCGAGGTTCATAGGTGTAACACTTACTTAACAGCTCAGTGTTTCCGCTGAATCGTCGCCTTCTGCGGTCAACGGTTCTACGAATGGAGCGCTCTACACCTGACTGCTTACTGGGAATTTTGGCGTTGATTCAAGTGGCTGGATAGCGCAGGTGGTGTATGAAGAGGGTACCACATTTCTCCATCCCCATTCCCGTGCACTTTCGAGCGGAGAAAGTGACACGCTGCTGCAGCTGCGGACCCATTCACCCTGCACATAGAGGGGACCGTCTTCGGAGCTGGGTGTTCAGTTTGCCGTTATGAAAGGTCCGCGATGAATGTGGAAGATTGTGTGGGAAGGTAATGTGGTCGTAATGGACAACCTTGTGCCAGTTTCCCGGCGGAAAGTTTTAAGGTACAAGAATGAAGGAGCAAAGGTGCTCCAGTTACACCTCCCTCCCTTGAGGCTGAAGGGATCCTATTGAAGGCGCCTCCGATGTTCCCTCTGGCATTTTTTCTTTGAAGACGAGTCACCTGGCAAGTTCTCTTCCCTCTTTCAACACCAGTACCTACGCTCCTTGTCGCGCACTGTACCCTCAACGAAGCAACCGGCAGCACCGTGTTGCGCCTACATTCGCCATTTAGCATGGAAAAAGTTATGTGGCTTACCTCACTGAGCCGCATTTCATCTCCTTGAGTTTTCTCTTCCTTGATTTCCTAAATTGAAAAGATTTTCACTGCTATGGTTAGCAACTCATCGATAGTATGTACAAAAGGTGGTTATCGATTGTTTCGAAAC